CTCTCACTCCCTCACCCTTACTGGACTATTATAATTGGGGTTTAATAAGAACTGAGAGTCATTAGTGTGTGTGTGTGTGTGTGTGTCACCATCTACGACCAACCACCATCATCGCCACTACTGCTACTAACATCACCTACCACCATCGCTACTAACACAACCACCAGCATCACAACACCGTGGGAACCTACCAACTGGTCCCCGCCCTGGGAGCATCGTTATTCAATATTGTGTATATGGGCCTTGTACCATCAGCCTCGACACACACACACACACACACACACACACACACACACACCACATCCTCACCATGATCACTACTCCCTCCCTACTCTCCCCCTCACCCCTCCCTCACCACACAAAGAAGAGAATGTGGGAGTCGGGCATAATATGGATAAAAAACATAATTATACGTTAAGGAATAAATTAGACGAACACAACACAAAACACAGCATAACTACGACCACATGTGTTGTATGAAAGGTGATCAGGGCGGCCCATGGGAGCGAGGAAACGGGGTGGTGGTGGGTGGTTGGGTGGGTGGTGGTGGTGGTAGGTGGTGTTGGTGGTGGTGGTGGTAGGTGTTGGTGGTGGTGGTAGGTGGTGGTGGTGGAGAGTGTTGGTAGGTGGTGGTGGTGGTAGTAAATGGTAGCCAAAGAGGAAGGGGAAGAAGGAAGAAGAGGAGGAAGGAGAAAGAAGAAGGAAGAGGAAGGAAGAACACACAAAGGCAATAACAATAAATACATAACGATAGGGAACACACACACACAGTAAGAGGACACCTCCAGGGGGGGCTGTGGCAAGACGGTGCCACTTACCCAGCTGAGTGCCACAGTGCCAAGCTGCCAGGTCTGTCTCATCTCTCGACCCTCTATAGTGCCATCCCTTAACAGCAAACCATGCACGTAAACTGTACTCTGGGTGGTCTATATTGTACTCTGGGTGGAGGTAAACTGTACTCTGGGTGGTCTATATTGTGCTCTGGGTGATGAAGGTAAACTGTACTCTGGGTGGTCTATATTGTACTCTGGGTGGAGGTAAACTGTACTCTGGGTGGTCTATATTGTACTCTGGGTGATGGAGGTAAACTGTACTCTGGGTGGTCTATATTGTACTCTGGGTGATGGAGGTAAACTGTACTCTGGGTGGTCTATATTGTACTCTGGGTGATGGAGGTAAACTGTACTCTGGGCGGTCTATATTGTACTCTGGGTGATGAAGGTAAACCGTACTCTGGTGGTCTATATTATACTTGGGTGATGGAGGTAACCTGCACTCTGGGGTGGGTTCACATTGTACTTGGTGATGAAGGTAAACTGTACTTGGGTATCTTTATATTACTCTGGTGATGGAGGTAAACTGTACTGGGTGGTTCATATTGTACTCTGGTGATGGATTTAAACTGCACTCTGTGAGTAAACCAAAAAAAATTTCAAGTGGTCTATATTGTACTCTGGGTGGAGGTAAACTGTACTCTGGGTGGTCTATATTGTACTCTGGGTGATGGAGGTAAACTGTACTCTGGGTGGTCTATATTGTACTCTGGGTGATGGAGGTAAACTGTACTCTGGGTGGTCTATATTGTACTCTGGGTGATGGAGGTAAACTGTACTCTGGGTGGTCTATATTGTACTCTGGGTGATGGAGGTAAACTGTACTCTGGGTGGTGTTGTAAACTGTACTCTGAATCATAGGTTACAGGTATGTACGTATGTGTATGTAAGTATACAAGTGCACACATACGTACACGTGACGGGCTACACACTACAGCTTAAAAATTCACATAAAAAACAACTCTATTTTTTGGTTTACACTAAAATTCGCTTTTCCTTCAATTACGTCGCAGTGAGAGAGAAAAAACTTGAAATGACTCTCTACCTCAGTTTTATTCCCTAAAAGTTCCTCAATTATCACATTCTTTCCTCATTTTTTTTAACATTCTCACCTATAATTTTTTCAACATTCAACATTTTTGCCTCAACATTTGTCTTCTCCACAATAATAGCTTTGTTCCAACATTCACCACCAACATTAATAATCTTCCACCAGCATTCTCCTCCAACATTATTCTCTCTCCAACACCCGGGTAAAAATGTCCTGCCACGCCTTAATATAAAAAGGAGTTTCTTTCATCTATTTTAAAACATCCACGACATGAAGCCTTAAACAACGGCAAGACCTGAACATATATAACGAAGGGGGGACTGGGTGGGTGGGGAGAGAGAGTGTGGGCGTGGGAGAGGAGGGGGGGTGGTGGGGAGATGGATGGATGAGGAAGGAATGGTAGGTGTGAGGAGGGAAGGGTAGATGGGGAGGGAGGGTAGTTGGGGAGGGAAGGGTAAATGGGGAGGTGGGGGGTCCAATAAGCCAAGGTAAAAAATGTTGTAAGGTATTACCGTGTATGTGAATCAATTTTCTAATTGGTCCCGAGGTGGGCTATTAGTTGTAAAGGGGGGAGAGGGGGGGTGAGAGGGGGTGAGAGGGGGGGAGAGAGGGGAGAGAGAGGAAGGGTGAGGGTGATTCACAGGTGTTGCTCCAGGTGAGTGTTCCCGTCCTAATCCAACCAATTACACCTGGCCGCCCTCATCCTCCCCCATGCCACGACCATAAACACACACGCACACACATAGACACACACACAGACACACACACACGGATCACCTGAAGAATAGACACCCCAGCTTCGACAGTACATACATAAACTGAGGATTCGATTGGGTTAAGTTAGGTTGGTTATGGTAAGTGGATGCTAAGTTAGATGTTTGAACCCATGAACCTTCAGACCCATGAACCCTCGGACCCATGAACCTTCAGACCCATGAACCCTCGGACCCATGAACCTTCGGACCCATGAACCTTCGGACCCATGAACCTTCGAACCCATGAACCTTCGAACCCATGAACCTGAGGCCAATGAATGTCTCAACAAACAGTACTTTCCCATTACTGTCCACACTTACGGGACCCACTCAGCCACTCTCACTTTTCTGTATACAATGAACTGTCCCCGCCTTAGTTCTCGTCCCCAGCTGTTGTCAACATTACTACACCAACAAAAACACGCCACCACAACACCACCCCACGTTCATTACACATACCTGCACCTGATTTATTACGAACAACAAGAGTGATATTCTGAGAACACCAAAGGAACAGTTACTGTATGAGTTAGTGAAGGTGTTAGTGTGACGAAAGAACAAAACACGACCAGAGAATATAAATGAGGGGGTGGGGGGAGGAGGCACGAGGGACTACGTCAACACACGAGGTTGTAAATGTGTTGGAAAAGACTCCGGGGGCTGTGTGATGTGAGGCACAAGCCGTGTTTTATGTCCCTCCTCCTGCCACCCCCACCCCGGCACACTCTCATCCCTTAAGTATAATTTGTATCTCGTGTGTGCAGAAAAACGACTCTCAATGTTTACACGAATGTCAGCCATATAATTCATTTCTTTGAGTGCCAAACATATCATTCCACGGACGCCATGTTGGATCTACCCACTCACTCCTCTTCCTCCCCCTTCCCCCTCCATCCACCCCCTTCCTCCCCCTCCATCCACCCCCTTCCTTCCCCTCCTCCTGCTACCAGTACTGATCTTCACCAGGTATTATAGCACCATTAGGATCCTTCGACGACTCCTCTATCACCACCATCTCCGGCTTTTAGCGCCATAACAACACCAGCCGACCACAAAGAACCCTAACAAAGCTCCCCCCTACCACCTACCACCTCACCACACACGTCAACCGCTGCTGTTAGTTACCTTCCTACGGTAGTGTGGCGTAGTTATAGCAACACACCACCACTACCAATAGCACCACTAACCTCGCCACCAGAAACCCCACCACCATCACCACCGACCATGGACCACAACAACAACAGTTAGTTTTCTCAGTTCCACAAAGATTAAAAAAAAAAAAAAACCTAATTCCTGTGGCCAAGAAAAGACCCCAATACCTCACCTTTCATCGGCGTGTGTGGAACGTGACTCGTCCTCACCACTCACTGCACCTCACATCCACTCAAGGGGCAGACGTCACCTCACAACACCCTCAGGAGCTTTACTACACTGTACCCCTCACCATGACCCCGCCCTGTGAACCATAAGACCGGGATGACCACAGATACAATATACCATTATCACCCCCCAAAGGACGTGTCTTAAGGGGACGTTTAGCACTATCTTCACACTATCCACATTATGCTTACACCCGTCCTACTCCTCTCGATACTTAAATGAATGCAGATAGAAGTCTAGTGAGTGTATTGGCTTATAGTAAGAGAATAGGGATTTATGCGAACTGAATCTAGTTAAGTGATGCAGTTCCCCGTTCCTTCCTCTTCAGTACATGGTGAGAGATAGAGAGAGAGAGAGAGAGAGAGAGAGAGAGAGATATGAATCACTAGGGGTGGGTGGGGGGTCGTACTCACCTCATCCTCCTCCAGCTCGTCCTCCAGTAAGTCGTCCTCGGAGCCATCGTCAGAGCCTTCGCCAGGATCATAATCAGAGTCAAGGAAGATGTTAGAGGCGGCCGAGGAGCTCCTCTCGATCACGAAGTAGGGCGAGGCGTCCATGGTGGTGGTAGTAGCGGTGGTAGTAGTAGTAGTAGTGGTGTTGGTGGGAGGTCGTTGTAAACAAGGTCCTCCTCCTCCCGCCTCTCCCTCTTCTACCTCACACGACCTCCTCAAGATGATACCTCCCACCTGCTCCCACTACCCACGCATCACACACCTGTTCTGTCTCTCTCTCAGATGTTTCTAAAGTGTCATCTCTCAGGTGTATACAAGTTGCATAGGTTTATTTTCCAAGGTAAACTAACTGTAGACAGCGACTTTTCCAGGTAAAATCAATAATACAGTTGTTTATAAAGGTGTAGACCAGTCAGCCTTGCTTACCTTTCTTCTGTTTCTTCGTAAAGTTGAACATTTTCTTCACGAATAAACAAATGTAAATAAAAAATGCAGAGCAAGTTTTTAAAGTGGAATCAGATGAGTTTTATAGATCATAAAACTTTCAGTCTCTAGTTCATAAACTTTTCCAGATCTCAGTTACAATTGGAAAGTATAAAAACTTTCAAAGTACAGTTGAAAAGTATTATCCAGGTGTGTACAGGTGATCATTCACACCTGTGGGAGTCACGTTAAGTCGAGGTGTATCAAATCCTTCGTCGGTCTTCCACCTCACCATCCCTTCCTCGGTGATAAGTTTTAATACATTGGCACCATATGCACTTAAGTCATTAATAATTCTCTATCTTAACCCTGAAACACATATAAGCGATAAGCACATAAGTCTAACACATATAGGAGGTGTTCGCTATATAATTTAACACATATCAATAGATAGAAGTGTGTGTGTGTGTGTGTGTGTGTGTGTGCCTGCGTGTACGTGTGAGTGCGTGTGTGTGCAAGCATAGTCCCGGCGGTGCACCTAACAAGCGCTGGTATGTGGGGGTGAACGAAGGCTTCCGCGAGACTGCCACCAACACACTCAACTGATCAGAAGGGCGGAGGGTGGGTGGTGAGGGGGTGGAGGAGGGGTGGTGAAGGGCGGAGGAGGAAGGGTGGTGAAAGGAGGAGGAGGAAGGGTGGTGGAGGGGCGGGAGGAGGAAGGAAGAGCGGGAGGAGGAAGGGTGGTGAAGGCGGAGGAGGAAGGGTGGTGGAGGGGCAGGAGGAGGAAGGGTGGTGAAGAGCGGAGGAGGAAGGTGGAAGGGCGGAGGAGGAAGGGTGGTGAAGAGCGGAGGAGGAAGGGTGGTGAAGGGCAGAGGGAGGGTGGTGAGGGCCTCCCACTCTACCTTTCATTACTGCTACTTACAAATAAGTTGGGTTGGGGTTGGGGGTTGGGTTGGGGTTGTGGGGGTTGCTGGGGTTGGGGTGAAGGTTGGGGTTGGGGTTGTTGGGGTTGGGGTTGGGGTTGGGTTGGGGTTGGGGTTGGGTTGGGTTGGGTTGGGTTGGGGTTGGGTTGGGGTTGGGTTGGGGTTGGGTTTGCTGGGTTGCGGGGTTGTTGGTGGTTGGGTTGGGGTTGGGGTTGTGGGTTGTGGGGTTGGGTTGGGTTGTGTGTTGGGTTGGGGTTGGGTTGGGGTTGGGTTGCGGGTTGGGTTGGGGTTGGGTTAGTTGGGGTTGGGAACCATGATTGGGGTCCATTCGAGATCAGTGTCATGTCAACTTGACTCGCCCATGGTGCTACCCACAACCTCTCTCCCTGACACACTATGACACACTATGACACACTATGACACACTATGACACACTATGACACACTATGACACACTATGACACACTATGACACACTATGCACTATGACACACTACACACTATGACACACTATGACACACTAACACACTATGACACACTATGACACACACACACTAATGACACACTATGACACACTATGACACACTATGACACACTATGACACACTATGACACACAGAGATGAAAGATGACCTTTATAACCGGCATACCAAAGGCTCTCCTTTATGTAAACTTTATACACGAAGACAAAAATAAAACGAAAAAAGTGGCCTCCACATAAGTGTTTTAATTATGCCATCACAACTACCACCACATACTAGCACCACAACTACCACCACAACTACCACCATTACTAGCACCACAACTACCACCACAACTACCACCATTACTAGCAGAAGGCGCCACGGTATCTTGTCTCTTCTATTAAACTACAACTATTACTATCATCACCAATATCACCACCATTACGTCCATTTAGCAACACCACGAACACGGTAACTAACAATACCACCACATCATCACTACCACCTCAACTAACACCACTCCTACCACCCCCACCTACCACCCCCACCTACACCACCCCCACCTACACAACCACAGCTAACATGATCACCACTTGCTTGCCTTCCGCTTCCCACCTACAACTGTTGTCTCCAGGCATGTGTTCTTGTACCGTATCATGTGACTGTATCCTATTCTTGTACTATATCCTGTGACTGTACCGTATCTCTCTGTACCGTATCTGTGACTGTACCATATCTCTCTTGTACCATATCATGTGACTGTAATATACCCTGTTCCTGTATTCTGTGTGTGATTGTACCAGGATCTTGAATCTCTGTACCATATCCCATAACTGTACCGTATGTAACCTACCCCAATAACTAGCAAGAGATGACACACAACCAAAATCATCTTCTATACGCTGCTGAAACGAACAAAATCCGCTAAAACAAAGGAGAGTCGTTTTTATAAGCTCTGGGAATATAAAATGAATACAGATCCCCCAACACGACACAAAACCCTGAGCCAGTTGCCTTCCCACGACCAGAGAAATGCAGGACAAGAGAGCCAGCGACAAAGAACTACCAGAGAGTCATTCAGTACGACCAAAGAGCCACCCAACACGACCAGAGAAAGCCTCCTAGCATGGCCAGAGCCACCCAGATCTCCCCCACCCCCGGCCATAGTGGGGGGGGGGGTCAGGTTGGCTCATAGGAGAGTAGTGAATGAATAAGTGTTGGTGAGGGGAATATACAGGAGACCCAGTGTGTGTGTGTGTGTGTGTGTGTGTCCCTCTTCCCTGAATATGATGTATTTCTTTGTGTATGAACCTCTGTCCTGTGTGGTGAGAAGTGACCACCCTCAGTGTCAAGACCTGACTGAATTACTCAGAATAGGCAAACTGTACTACAAGCTTTGTCAATAAATTTGTTAAACTAAAAAAAAGACGGAGAGGCTCTATAAGTTTACTTGTGATGAGAGAGAGAGAGAGAGAGAGAATATTCGTTTGGGTGGCCAGATATCGTAGCTACGTCACTCCCACCACCCCCCTCACCACCCACCCTCCACCTCCCCCACATCACCTAATTCCTCCTTCCCCCCTCCCTCCTCAGTTCCTCCCCCTCCCCGTCAATTATTTTCTTCTTTCCTCTCTGCTTCCATCTTTATCAACCTACCTCACCTACTCTTCCTCCTCTCCTCCCTTCCTCCTCACGTCCATCAAAAGACAAGTGCTCCTTCACATCTACTACTGACAAACCAAGGCTCTCTCTCTCTCTCTCTCTCTCTCTCTGACTGAGTTAAGAGGATTGGATTAAGTGGAGTGCGTGCGTACGTGCGCGTGTGGGGGAGGGAGGGGGAGAGGAGGAGGGAGGAGGGAGGAAGGGAGGAAAGGGAGGAAGGGGGAAAGGGAGAGCTGGCAGGGTGAGTGGCCAGTGTGTGTGTTGAAGCCCTTGAGGAGGCCATATTTTCTAAAAGAGTAGAGGTTAAAGAGGAAGGGACGAGAGGAGATAGAGGCGTGTAGAGGAGGCCATGAATGAGGTGAGAAGGGTGAGAGGCCAGGGGGGACTATGGTGCTTTGAAGAGAAGAGGGGGGGTTGTAGAGGTAGTAGTGGTGAGAGTAGTAGTAGATGTAGGAGGAGGAGGAGGAGGAGGAGAGGACAAGGACGGTGGTTGGTGATGAAAGGCTCTACCCCCAGAGACGTCCCCAGCCCCACCCCCAACACTATCACCTCATTCAGGAATCAACCCGACGTGCCACCCAACTACCATCACCACCACCACCACCACACCCACCACCACCCCACCACCACCACCACCACCACCATGAACCAAAATAAACTCTCTCTCATTCATGAAGAACCACAACACACACACACACACACACACACACACACACACACACACACACACTAGGAGGCCCATGATGTAGGTCCTCTCCACTACACACTTCCTGGAAATTCTCAACAGTATCTTATTCATTGTAGGTCACACACACACACACAGGTATACACACACAGGTATACACACACACGCACAGTATACACACACGCACAGGTATACACACACACACAGGTATACACAGAAGAGACAAACAGACAGGCATCCCCCTCTTTATCCAAATCAATTATTACAAGCCATCATTTGCCAAACAACATTAGTCATCACCTAACAACACAGTCCACCCGTGACGCTGTTGAGGCCTATGCAGGGGGGGGGAAGGGAGGGACGAAAGGAGGGGCCAGAGGTGGTTTCTCATCTCACGGACTTAAATGGAGGGTTCACGGTATTCTAGTCCACTTGTACCACTGCCTTATAATTCATCAGTAAAATAAGAGGGAGGTTCGAGCAGCGTGTTTCGAAGCTGGTTCATCAACTGCTAATTTGTGAAGCAAATAACAGCACTCAGTGAGAATAATTCCTACGTTAATGTAATTTATCAGATGCGGGAGAAAAAGGGTGGGGTGGGGTGGGGTGGGGTGGGGTGGGTGGGGTGGGGTGGGGTGGGGGTGGGAGTGGGGTGGGAGTGGGGTGAGGTGGGGTGGGGTGGGGGTGGGGGTGGGGTGGGGTGGGGTGGGGTGGGGTGGGAGTGGATGGGGTGGGGTTGGGTTGGGTTGGGTTGGGTTAGGTCAGGTAAGGTCAGGTCAGGTTACTCTAGTTTGGGTTAGTGGATGTAGGAAGGTGGAAGAGTGAGGAGGAGAGAATGTGCCTGGGGATGGAGGTCAAGTCCGGGTGGGGGAGGGCGTGAGGTGGGGGGGTAGATGTGGTTGTGGGCGGACAATGGCAGGTCAGTAACATGAGGGCGTGGGCGGCGATACTAACATACAAGAGAGCTTTATTATTATAACACACACACACACACACACACACACACACACACACACACACACACACACACACACACACACACACACACACACACACACACACACACACACACACACACTCTTCCTCCTCCAGCTGCAGTAGAAGAGTGATGGAGGAGGAGTCATGTCTTTCTCCATTCACTACCTCCACTACCTCCTTTACCGCCGAGCAGGAAGGACAATACTGCAGGAGGAAGAGGAGGAAGGGAGCGGAGGAGGAGGAGGAGGGATGCGGGGGGGAGAGGAGGGAGGAGGATGATGGGGGAGGAGGAGGAGGAAGATAAGTACCCCCAAGCTGGGAGTTCTTTACAACATTACAAAACATTTTAAAACATTGACCTAAAAATCTCTGTGTACCTGAAGGTGCTCTGGGAGGTTCCTGTCCATCCTAGGAAGTGAAAACGTTCGTGTAAGTCTAAAGCATAGAAGTCGTTGTTCATCCTGGGGATAACAAAGGTCTCCCAGGTAACCTTCCTCCCCCTCCCAGGGTCTCCCCACCTGTCCACCTGGGCGATTTAAGGACAGAAATTTTATTGATTTCCTCCCTTCTCCTGTCCCTCTCAATGTCCCTCCTTCCCTATCTGTCTCTTCCCTTCCATTCTCTCCCTCCCTCACAGGAAAGACGTAGCAACAGGAGTAA